GCTGATAAGACAGCAATGGTCAGTTTTAACACAACCAAAGTCCAGGTTACTCCAAGCATGCTCACATGCATTCAAACTAGAATATCTAATCTGGAAACCATCTTGCAAGCCAAAACACTGGCCCGCATCCCATCAACTCCAGCATGTTAGAGATAGATACACTCAGTGTATCTTTATTCCCTTGTTTTAAGTTTATATTTATTCTTCTTGTATGCTGGTGCTGGCTGAAGGTCATAAAGTACATTGGTTCAATTTAGATGCTGAGAACCTGTCTCAGCACTGTTAATTTATTTTTAAAAAAATCTGAAACAAGATAAGACAGGGCAGCTGAACTGAAAATAATATTTGAACAAGATAAAATATAAATTACTAAGCTTGTTATATTTAATAATGCAATCATCTCCCAAGGAAATATTGAATAATTTGCTCCAGCCAATTATACAAACAACCTGAAGTTATATTTCCTTTCATTTTAACATTTTATTAGTTTATAGAACAGAATAAAAATACAAAAATACAATATCAAATAGCAGCAACGTACATTTAGAAGACTGTCCAGACGGCAATAAGTTGTAACAGTCCTTCTCTCGTCAATATGACATTTCTGATTAATGATGATGTTATTGTTTTTTTGCAGGGAGAAGCAAGTTACTTGTAGAGAAGGAGAGGCAGAATCTGGGGGCAGGGTTAAAAGAGGGCTGAGCCTAGCATCCCTATGTGGCCACAAGCGAACTAAGTCCAACCCCCACTTGAATTTCATTGACCCTTACCTAACCCCAAGTTGATGCTAACCCTTAGTTGAGAAGACTTCTGTAAATAGGCATGATTAGCAATACATCAGTTTAATTGGACTTTCCCCTGTGGACCTGGTCTTTTACCTGACATTACTCATTAATTCATTTTTCCTTCTCAGAAAGCAGTATGAAAGAAGAAATAGAATATGTAAAAAAAATGGATTCATTCATATTCCTAAATGAGCTCTTGCTAAACCAAGCTACACAACAGTGCAATCCTATTATCATTTACATTGCCTAAGTACTCAGGAATGCAAAGTGCTACAATGCCTCAGCTGCTGTTAAGATGGTGCTGCAGTCCAGACCTCCACAATGTGCAGTTTGTCAAACAGCCTTATGCATCCCGATGGAATTTTCTGAAAAAATAAGTAATCCATTGCTGCCAACTATTGCCACCATTAGGAAGGATCTGTTGTTGCCACCCAGGTTTTCAGAGCACCTCATACCTCAAAAGACATCTGCCAAGCACCAACATCTCCAAGAACCATGGTCACTGCCAGTGCCGATGCTAATGCCACAGAACTGCTCTTCCTTTGTCGCCTTTTCCCTCCCTATAAAGCCTGCTATAGTCTGAGACACACAGGCTGAAATCCCACACAGCCACAAAGCTCACTGGGTGATTCAGGGGCAGGCATTTTCTTTCCACCCCACCTATCTCACGGGTTATTGTTATGAGAATCAAATTAGAAAATAAGAATAGAATAGAAAATGAGAAGAGATTATAAACACCATTAATATATTAAAAATAATTTGACAAAATCACCATCAGTCAGGGGCAAAAATCAGCTGTACTTGGAGTAGCCTACATCCTATGATCCAGGGGTGAAATCCAGCAGGTTCTGACAGGTTCTGGAGAATCGGTAGCGGAAATTTTGAGTATTTCAGAGAACCAGTAGCGGAAATATTGAGTAGTTTGGAGAACCGGCAAATACCACCTCTGGCTGGCCCCAGAACGGGGTGGGAATGGAGATTTTGTAATATCCTTCCCCCAGGAGTGGGATGGGAATGGAGATTTTGCAGTATCCTTCCCCTGGAGTGGGATGGGAATGGAGATTTTGCAGTATCTTTCCCCTGCCACACCCACCAAGCCACGCCCCCAGAACTGGTAGTAAAAAAAATTGGATATGACCACTGCTACGACCATACCTCTAATACTATCAAACATCCATACCTGCTAGCCCAGGTCCTTGGGAAAGTCTCAATAAAGTGGATTAAAAATGGCAAACCCACACTAAACATCTGGCTGACTGTGTGACCAATCATAACAGCAGCAGCAGCAGCTATAATAATGCATTGTGTTTTTTCAGTGAGACCCGTCTATCAGGGCAACCTGGCCTACCCAAATATGGGACAGAGCACACTGCTTCCGCTTTCCGCCCCAATCCAGGAGCCTTTGCAGGCAGTTGCTTCCGCAACAAACTATTTGTCTTAAATTTAAAATTACCAATAAAGAATTAAAGGGGGACTAGTATAGCTATTTCAAGCTGTTTAGCTCTCATCAGAGGGCATCAGTGGTGGTATTCAGCTGGTTCTATCCGGTTTGGGCAAACCGGTAGCGGCAGCTGCGGGAGGCTCTGCCCACATGCCCAGACATCATCACATCCCATTTTTGATGCTCTGCGCATGCACAAAGGTGTTGCACACGAGCTCCCATTTACAAACTGGTAGTGAAGGTAAGTGAATACCACTCCTGGAGGGTATGGCTAGCTGATGAGAGCTAAACAGCTTGAAATAGCTATATTAGTCTCCCTTTAATTCTTTGTTGGTAAATTTAAATTTATAATAATGTATTAAATTTTTATTCATGATGCCCAAAAACTTGGAGCAGCTCCGATCAATCAAATGAAAAAATTAGAATAAAATCAATAGAAGATGGCAAGTGCAATGAAGAGAGGGGGTATCACTTTCCCTTGCCAACCGAGAATGGATGAAGATCCAGATCTTACTGCTCTTCTGAACAACAGCAGAGGGATAGCCATCCAGGTCTTAAGAGACGGCATTGTTCCAAAGGGCAGGTTATTCTACAGAGAAGGGGTGCTTCTGGAGTCCTGATCCTTTGATTGTTTAATCAAAGAAGCCCAGAGAGTACCAACCCCTCAGGATTGAATTGGCTAGGCAGATATTATGGGAGATAGGCAGTGGCTCAAGCAACCAGACCCTACGCCATGTAGGGCTTTATAGGTAACAACCAGCACCTTGAATCACACCCAAAGGCAAACTAGTAACCCGAGGTGTTATATAGGCACACCAAGTCATGTCCGTTATTTTCATGCTACCACATTCTGGACCAGTTGAAGTTTCCAGATGGTCTTCAAGAACAGCCCCACATAAAGAGCATTGAAGTAGTCAAGCCTCAAGAGGACTATGGTATGAGTGACTGGCTGAAGCCTCCGCCCCTCTAGAAAAAGACACAACTGGCACACCAATTCTGCATAGCCCTTCCTAGCCACAGCTTACACTTGCTCTTCAAGCTAGAACTACAAATCCAGAAGATATATTATGATAAGTGTGACTGACTGACTGACTGACTGATTGACAAATATCACTCTTCACTTTTTTTTAGACATATACCCTGTTTCCCCAAAATAAGACATCCCCTGATAATAAGCCCAATTAGGCTTTTGAGCGCATGGCAATAAGGCCAAGCGCTTATTTCAGGGTTCAAAAAAATATAAGACAAGGTCTTATTTTCAGGGAAACATGGTAGAACAAGAAATACAAGCATCTAGATTTCCCAATTATAAATAAAAAAGCAACAGTATGGTAACATTATGAGGATTAAAAATTCTTAATCTAAGAAGACAACTTCAAGTTTTCCATAAGGGCTTTTTTTTTTCTGAATTACAATAATCATTCAGTTGGTTATTAGACCATCCCTCTTACAAAGTGTTTAATGAAGGTAGCAATTTATTTCAGCACTGATGTTTGTATTCAGGTTCTCTGACAAGTTAAAATGAAGAATTAAAAAAAGAGATAAAAATTCAATAGCACATGAGGGCCCTCATTCTCAGATCTGTTTGCTGTCACATATCCCAGGAGCTGCAATATAGGTATATTGATTTTACTAATGTTTTGAGAACTGATGGTTTTCATTTCTTCTTCCTGAGGACTCTATAATGTCCCACATAACATTATGTCCCTCAGGAAAATGTGCCTCAGAATTGCTTACAACTGCTTTTCAGAACCAACAGAGTTTACAGTCAAGAGTACTGTAGGAGGCAAAAACCTACACATTACAATACCAATTCATGTAGTAACATGATGCTAAACACAATGTTGATCTTATACTATACTTAATTGGTACTTAATTATACAGAAGAAATGAGGTTATTATAACCAGTAATTCTGCTACCATAATTACAATACACACAAAAAATCACTAGATTTTTTCCCCCCTGCTACATAAATTCTATATACCGACACTGAAGCACTAAAGCATCTTAATTTGAGTATAAAGCTGAACATGCATTAATATTGTCAGTACTTTTACCAAAGGCCACAAATTCCCCATCAGATGCTTCCCAAATATATTGGGATTAAAATTCTTTCAATACCAGCCCAGAATAACTAAGGAATTTCAGGAGGTGAAGTCTTATCGTATCCAGAACAAAAAAGGCAGGAAAAGTCATATAATAAACATACATTGCTCACAATGATAGATATTATAGTAATTCAGATTAAGAAGACAAGGAAGCAATATGCAGGATGTACTATGCAACTGGAAATGAAGAGACAACCAGAAGACTGCCAGAGCTGAATCAAATTATGGATATAAGTACTAGGCCTTTTTCTTTTTTTAAAACTAATGAATTAAAACTCAAATTTCTTTACAATCTCGATTGTTACAGATTTTTGTACTTAGATAGAGTAAGAATGTGGAAGTCAGAACACTGATGATGAAGCAATGAAAACATGTTAGCAACTCAGTACAGAGAATTACAGCATCTCTCCAGGGTTTGTATCTGCAAACAGTAGGTGTGATAAGCTTCTGGCACTTTAAACAGCAGACAAGGCAGGCAAACAAGGTACCTGAAGGTGAATCTAGGCACCAGAAGCGATTCTAAAATACTCATAAGACAATGTATATTAAAGATATGGAATGCACTAGGATAACATATATAATGTTTCACCTAAAATCCCATTCACCTGCAAACTATATCACCCTCTATGCTTCACTTAAGGATATATGAATGGCTCAATACTCACTTGTGCATATTTTCCACTCCTATAATGATCATGATATAGTATGAAATTCCACTTTGTATAACAAAATGTAAGGCATACCTAGGAAGGAAATATTATGATAATGTCTTATTAATCCAAGTACCAATTCAGTTTTAAGTTAACAGAGAGAAATAAAACACTGCCTGATCTGCTCCTTTGTTGATAAACTGTTATCTATTAGAATTAAATTAGAATTTCAGAGACACAGAAATTACTCTCTAAAGCCATTTTCACCCATTGTATCCTGTCACAATCCCTTTCTTTTGAGAATATACTAACTAATACAATATTTAGAGAATAAAATCCAGCACTCTAATAGTAACTCTAAGAAATAAAAGCACTGAAATGAAAGCTCAAGTTACTTACCATCCAAAACAAAAAAGTGCAAGATAAAGGCCCAATAGTGTGGCAACAACATGCCTTATGAACGGACTAGTTTTGCTTGAATGAAGGTAAGTTCGAAACCACATAGCAGCCAGCAAGGCAAACAGTTGGCACACTACAAAGTTGACCTGCGGAGAAGAGACAATGATTATTAAAAACATTAATATTCATATAATTATATATTGAAGTTGATTTTCTGTTTATATAACAACAACAAAAAAAACCAATGGCAAACTTTTAAAAAGTCATACTTGATAGTCATAGGAATTGTTGAGGAAACTGGTCGGATGCCAAGTAATCATCAACAATATGAACAACAACAATAATTAAAGCACTTTATACATTAAAAGTATAAAAAAGTTAACTATTAACTAACATCATGATTTTTATGGAATTATAATTAAATGTATAGGGTAAAACTCATGTAAGGAAAGAACTGTTGGTGATATGTAAGAACTGTATTGCCTAATATTTTTTCACTGAACCAAGATAGAAAAATAAATGTTATAATTATAAATTAAGTACAGTGTAGGTAAATACCTAACTCATTTCTGTGTCCATATAGTGCATTATTTATAGCTGTATAGGTAGCCATTAACTTACAACCACATTTGAGACTGAACTTCCATCACTAAGCGATGTGATTGTTAAGTGACCCCTGATTTTGCAACCTTTTTTGCCACAGTCGTTAAGCGGATCATACAGTTCTTAAGAGGATCCAGCTTCCCCCATTGACTTTGCTTGTTAGAAACCACCTAGGAAGGTGGCAAATGGCAATCATGTGATCCCGGGATGCTGCAACTGTCATATATGCATGCTGGTTACCCAACACCTAAATTCTGATCACATAACACTATTGGGAAACTACAACAGTCATAAGTGGAAGAGCTGATCAGAAGTCACTTTTTTCAGTATTGTAACTTCAAATGGTCATTAAGTAAATTGTCATAAGTCAAGGACTATCTGTAAGCATAGTATCATATTTTCCAGGGTAAAAAAGGGAACTGTGAAGCACAGGAACACACATGCAGCATATAGTAGAGCTAATCAATCAAAGGGACAGATCAGCAGTGAAATGCTACCGTTTGGTGCGCACTGCACATGCACGGGCAGCAAACCAGTGGCAAACCGGGAGGATTTCACCACTGGAACAGATGCAAATGCCCCCCACCCACCCCCAAACTGTGGATTTCCCTTATCTACTTTATTGTGCCATTATCCTATAGCAGTGATGCCTAACCTTCTCCGGACTCAGTGCCCAAAGCGCACATGCGTGAATGCCCAAGTGCGCAACCGAACCCCCAAAATGCAATGCACGTGTGGGGCCTTTGCATGTGCCCTGCCCCCATGCATGCACACACCCCCACACATGCCCCCATGCATGCATGCATGCCCCCGCACACTCCCCGCATGCACATGCTCTCCATATGCACCACGCCTCCTTCCCCATGCTTGCGCGGCAGAGACCTGAAACCCACCTGGCTGGTGGGAGGCATGCGCACATAAGCTTAACTGGGGCAATGGCTCACGTGCCCACAGAGAGGGTGCTGTGTGCCACCTCTGGCACACGTGCCAGATGTTCACCACCATGGTCCTATAGCGTTATGAAGAATCAGAAGAACGATGAGAAGAACTCATTGAAAACTACAGTATTCGTCTGTTTCAAGTAGGGCTGGGATTGGGGTTTTAACTCACACTTTCACAATAAAAGTTCCAAATCTGCAAATAATGCACATTTGCATTATTGTTCATACACAGAAAAAAAGCAACTCTTTGCTGTATTTGGACTGTAAAGAGGATGAGCTTCTTCAATAAAATAGATTGCAGGGGAACTGTCTGTGTTGTAAAAGAATGGTATTAAGAATTTATTTCAGAATCTTGTATTCTGTAGATATTGCAACGGCAGCTGTAGCTTTTAGAAAGACTGAAGAGTTATAGTCGAGTTGAAATGGATTCTTTTTTCAGAACAGGTCTCAAAGCAGATAGCTAATACCTGAAGATATTGCTCAGCAGCCTTTTCACCGTTTCAAGTGCTAAAAAAATTAAAGCAAGGAGAAGGCAATAAAGAGAAGGAGAACAATGTTTAAAGCATAGCTGCCATAGATAAAAATGCAAAGTAAGGCAGGGGTAAAATGCTTCCGGTTCGGACCGGATCGCCCGATCCGGTAGCGATGGCGGTGGGTGGTTAGGAGAACCGGTAGCAAAAATCCCTCCCCACCCCCATCCCTGGCTGTGCCGCACAATCATCAGAGGCTTTTTATTTTATTTTTAAAAGCATTTTTTCTGCAACCTCTTCGGCCGAAAAAATGCTTTTACAAGTAAAAACAAAGCCTCTGCCGATCAGGCAAGTCAGTTGGGATGGTCAGAGGCTTAAAAAAAAAAAGAAAAGCATCTGCCGATCAAGCAAGTCAGCTGGGATCGTCAGAGGCTTTTAAAAACATTTTTTTACAACCTCTTCAGCCAAATGGTTTAAAAAATGGTTTAAAAGTAAAAAAAAAAAAAAAAGTTGGCCACGTCCACTCAGTCATATTACACCCCCCCCACCAAGCCACACCCACAGAACCGGTAGTAACAAATTTTACATTTCACCACTGAAGTAAGGGCATATTTAGTAATCGCATGCATTGTGATTCCGTGCAAAGGGAGCTCCAAACATTATTGGAAAGAAGGTGCATATAGCACCAGATGCCTATTTCTGACTTAGCAGAAATGGCAACATACAGAAATTGCACAGCAACCTTACAAATAAGGTGAGGAAAAACCAAAGGGAGTCTAATTCCTTTTTATTAAATCAAACACAGTATTGAGTTTCAACTGGCCTTCTGGCTTTTCAGAAAGCCTTAAAAGCTTGGATAACTAGTTAGATGAACCTGTCAGGAGCTGTCAATTTAACTGTTGGCTGATGTTGTCCTTGGTTGCCATTATGTGTTTTTTACATTGTTTATTTTGCATCCTTAGTTTTTAAACTCTGTTAGCATACACGAAATTGCTACTGCAAGTTGGGCAACCATATAAATGGATTACCGGTAAATAAATAAATAAAAAGACAATAAAATATTGTGCCAAGAACGGGCAGCGTACTCATGTTACGAAGCATCTAATTTATCCCGTATGTTTGTTTAAAACCATGACTCGGTTTAGAAATTTGTTTACAGCAGATGCCATCAACTGTACAGTGAAATGGCAGCACATGTCCTGTAGTTGCCATTTGGTGTTTTGGTAAATGGGATTTTTTTCTTATATGATTATTGCTTTTTTAGCTTTGTTGTGTTTGATTTATGATTTAACTGTTAATTATTGTAGATAGTCAGACGTTTTGTGAATTATGTAATTTCTAAATATAGGTAATCTTTGATTTACAACCATTTGTTTAGTGACTATTTGAAGTATAACAATACTGAAAAAAGTTACTTATGGCCGGGTTTCAAACTTATAATATAACTGTAAGTCACGTGATCAGAAATAGGGCATATGGCAATCTGTACGCTGCAGTATCCTGGGCTCATGTCATCACCCTTTGTAACCTTCCCAGTCAGCTTCCAACAAGCAAAGTCAATGAGGAAAGCTGGTTTTTTTTAATGACCATGTGATTCACTTATCTACTGCAGTGATTCACTTAATAACGATGGCAAAACCGGTCATTAAATTGGGTGTGGCTTCATTTAACAACCTTCTTAGCAATAGAAATTCTGGTCCCAGTTGTAATCATAAGTCAAGGGCCACCTGTCGCCAATTTATTACTACCCCTAATTTAAAAAGGGAAGTGTAAACAAAGGAATCCTAAGAAGGCCCACCCAAGATGGCAACTAGGCCTGAGGGAAAGGCTATTTGAAGAATACTGCCGGAGCCTTGCGCATATACAAAATAACATCAGAACAGTTTCAGTGCAGAATTGATATTGGCACTTATTTATAAGTGCAAGGGTGAGGACAGAATGAAGGAGTGGCTTTATCTACTTGTTGTTCTCCAACAGATATTGTGCCAAGTGATTCAAAGTTAGAAACAAACTCAGGAAATATCCTTGGATGGAGAGGTAGAAGAAAAAGAATTTGGATCCAAATCCCATTTCTCCCTCTCTCTCTTTCTCTCTCTCTCTCTCTCTCTCTCTCTCTCTCTCTCACACACACACACACACACACACACACACACACACACGTTATTTCGTCAAGCTAGTTATATCTATTTGCCATTCTCAAGTATATCCACAAAACAACTTTCATCCTCTCTCAGATCTCTGGCCCATCTCCGCAGAGCTATAAAGTAATTTAGACATTTCCCCTTTTCTTTTGGGGTGTTTGTTTAACATGTAAATAGAGCAAATTAGGCTGCGATTCTCAAAAGAATCAGGGTAGATCCATAGTCACCTTTGGCACAGCATGGTAGAAGATTTGCCAAGGCTTAAGAATCTGTGTACTGAATGGAATATTTCCCAGAGATTTCTATCCGAGCCATTTTTCTCTTATGTCTAGTTACAGAAAGTAAGGAAAGCTGTTCAGCATCCCAACACCATTTCACTTGGTTGCACCATTACCAAGTGCAGCATCTGAACAAACAATCTTATGTCTAGAATGTGTGGCCATTAAACTATTTAAGACACAATGCTTCTTACTGTGTCTTCTTTACAGAATTATCCAGAGTGGGGGCGGGATGGGAAGGGAATCAAATTTCCTACTTTCCAAGCTCAGGGAGGCTTTTGAAATCATTCTTGCAAAGCTTGAAATACTAAGGCTGGCTCAACCTCACTGTAGTAATGCAAGCTACTATTCAAAGACACTGCAACTTACAAGAGACACAGTGAATCCTTAAAGAGAATCCATATTAAAACTGAGAAGCCCAAATCCTCTAGTGATCAAAACTAAGAATAGGCTCTTGATTTGTAAAATATGCAATGCATAGATTGTACTACAGATAATAAACTTCATCTCACCTGACATGCAACCAATAAAGTTTAACTTTATATAAAAACAAAGAATGATTTAGAAAGCCTGTGATAAACCTGAGGTCATAGCTTCATAAAATTAAATGACTCTTCCAAACTGTTTCAAACAAAAAAAAGTATTATTTGTTCTAATAAACACATATTGCAAAGAAAAGGATCAACACTTCTTAAACTCACATTCATTTGTAC